GATGAGGTAAAAGGAATTAATCTTGAAAATGATGTTACAATAGATGATCTTTTACTTTCATATAAGAATACTGGTTTTCAAGCTTTGAATCTTTATAAAGGAATACAAGAGATCAAAAGAATGAGAAAAGCAAATGCTAAAGTGTTTTTTGGTGCCACTTCCAATATTACAAGTTGTGGTTTAAGAGAAGTAGTCTGTTATATGGCCAAAAACAAGTATTTTGATGTTTATGTTACTCCTGGTGGTGGTATTGAAGAAGATATTATAAAGTGTTTTAAACCTACAAAACTTGGATGCTTTAAATTAGATGGTAAAGAATTAAGAGAGAATGGTTGGAATAGAATTGGAAATTTAGTGATTAATAATGAAAATTATGTTTATTATGAACAATTCATTGTTGAATTGCTAAATGAATTAATTGATGGTTATACACCTGAAAATCCAAGAATAATTACACCATCAGAATTTATTTCTTTATTAGGAAAGAAAATTAACAATGAAAACAGTGTATTATATTGGTGTTATAAAAACAATATTAACGTTTATTGTCCAGCTATTACAGATGGTTCAACAGGTGATATTATTACATTTTTTAATAAAAGAGACTGTTTAAAGATTGATATAGTCCAAGATATTTACAATATAAATTGTGAATGTATGAATTTAAAGAGATAGTTATTAGATATTCCTAATGCAGAGAAAAAGAATGGTGCTATTGTCATAGGTTCAGGTATAGTAAAGCATCATATTTTAAATGGAAACCTATTTAATGATGGTTTAGATTATTGTGTAATTCTTAATACAGCTCATGAAGAAGATGGATCAGATGCAGGTGCATCATTACAAGAGGCATTCAGTTGGGGTAAAGTTAAGCCAAGTAAAACTTGTGTAAAAATTTCAGGAGAAGCTTCTATTATTTTACCTTTATTAATTTATGGTGGTTTTAAATCAAATTCTAATTTTGAATAAAATATTTTAGTATAATTTGTTATTTTTGTGATTAAAAAAATATTAATTTAATGAGTTTTAAATTTAAGAATTCTATGATATTATTTTTTGAAAATTATTTTGATTAAATTAAACTTCATTGAAAACAAAATATT